CTGGTGGGGTTGCGTTAGAATGTCAGTGTGCGCCTCGCTATATGTCTTCACACGCGAAAACTTTAATTTATTAGAAAGTTCATCAATTCTTCATACGAGCTTCGTTTTCAACGTTCTTTCTATGCACACGTAGCTATCGATAAGTACTACAACTTTTGTTTAGACTTTGTCGGCTATTTCTTAGTTTATTTTTAAAGCTATATTTTTAACAGGCTTAGAGTGTTAAAGTCTGTATAAAAATCTTAACTTTCTCACACGATATTCATTTTCGACTGTCTTTATATCGACATATAGGTATTGACGAGATCTTCAACTCTCGTTTAGATTGTTTTTCCTAAAAATCGACCGAATTTAATTTCGGTTTTAGAGCCATATACTGCTACGTTGAAACTTCAAAAATTTGTAACTTCCTCTCACGAAGTCAGATTTGGACGTTCTATATATGCACAAGTTTGTTTTTTCGATTACTACGACTTTTGTTTAGATTATTTATCCAAAATAATTTTTAATTTTTAATTTATATTTTAACCCTATTTATTACGTTTTTAACATAAGATTTCACACAGATATCATATACATTTTATATCTATAAAATCCATGTAAACACACACACACACACATACACACATACACACACACACATATATATATATATATATATATATATATATATATATATATATGAATAATTTACTTTTATTTATTCATAGAAGATTTCATTCGTCGAACGACATACATACAAATTCTTAACTATGCCTAGCGATAAATGCGGGCGTTATACATATGCATCGCTCAGTAACCACTTATTGGGTCAGATTGAGATGGTTCTTGAATTTTTTTTTTACATAACTATCCTTTAACCTAATACCCATCGTTTTCGATAGCCACTAAAATATGCACACTCTTTCTCTCATGATTCCAATCGACCTTCTATCAACTCACCTCTGACTAGCACTAACATTCTGTCATTTCCGCCACTCGGTCGCTGTCGTCGTGCCAGCAGTGCTGCCACTCTTCCAAACATCATCCTCTGCCAGCGACAAAACCTCTAATAATTTCTTTTTTGAAATCGAGTTTTGCAATCAAGTTTTTGATGAATGAATTAGATTTCTCTATTGTTATCTTGCTAAACTCTAATTTTTCCGGTGTTATCTTGCTAAAATCAATATTTTTGGTTTTATTTATGCTTATTTGGTTTATCCATATTTAAAACTCGAGTATTATTGATGAAAACGAAACTTTCTGGTGTTATATATGTTGGAATCGATTTATCCAAGTTTGAAACAGGAACTTTAATGTTGAAATATAGTTTTTTATATGCTAAAATCTCGATATTGTTTTTGTCCGTTGGAAAGTAGGTTGTTGTCAGTCTCACCTATTGAAGTTGGTTGATTCCCCACCCCCCAGGCCTTTTTTTTTTTGTCCAAGAGTTGCAAAATGGATCTACAAACCTTCTAATGATGAATGTTTGGTATTTGATTATGGACGTAAACATGTTATCATATTTTGAATAGAGAATTGATCAATTGAATAATTGTTTTATGTGTTTGGTTGATTGGGTTTCTAGAATCTTTTTATGGTTCCGCTTTATGATGATGAAATATGATGTTTTTAAAGAAAATAGAAAAAAAAATATTTTTATCATTCATTATTAACCAAACAATATGTTTAACATGTTTTAAGTGAGAAACCGATTTTTTAAAGCCTTTAATTTATATCTTAATGAGATAGATATGCCAACATGAAAACTCTTATTAAATTACATATTAGTAATTAAATATTAGTAATTAAATATTAGTTAAGACTTTATTAAAAAAGGTAAAAAAAATAATAATAAGTGAAAAGATCATAAAGTTAATAAAAAGTTTTATATCTTATAATTGAAATAAATGAAGACTCACAACTTGATAAAAATAAGAAATCTCCATAAAAATCCAAAACTTTTGGGAAAAGTTTCAATTTAGTCCAAATATTTTTTTTTATTAAAAAACCCAAGAAACCGGTTAATTATTACACTTTAATCATTGTTAACCTATTTAGAAGGTTACCTGTTGATGTGACACTCTACCTTGGAAACCCTATTGACGTGGCAGACTGACGTGGAATCAGCTCTTATATATATCTCAAATATTGAAACTATTTATGTGTATCTACGTATGAAGTGTTTTTTGTGTTTTGATATTTCATCAGTGGTTGTGAAAAACATGCTGAACAGAGGTGAGTTTTGCAGGTTAAAATGCTTAACAGAGAGAAAAAGAAGGGATTGAGACAATAATAACGGTGGTGGGAAGGAGAAGGGGGAGAGATAGTCAAAGAGAGGAAGAAAGTCAAAAAGAGAATAGGGGTGGGGTGGGGGTTACGGGTGGGTACAATATTTTTTTTACAGGTGATGTGGGTAGGCCATTTTTTTTCTTTTTCTTTTTTTAAATGATAAAGAAAAGAGTAAATAAATTCAAAAATAAAATTAAAAGGGCAATAAAGTCAATTTTCAACTTTTCTAGGAACCAAAACCACAAAAAAAATCGATTTTGAACCCATAGTGCAAGTTGAATAGATTTTGTACTCTATCCATAATTTTTTTTTTGATAATCACAGGGACCAAACTTGTAGTTTAGTCAAAATCCAGCCTCTCTCTCTCTCTCTCTCTCTCTCTCTCTATATATATATATATATATATATATATATATATATATATATATATATATATATATATATATATATATATCTCCCTCTCTCTTTATCTCAGATCTGCAAAGTCCCTCTTACAACACATTTAATATGACCGATGACTACACCAAAATATCATTGAGTAGTGGGAGGTTAATATAAACCATTCATTCCATAAAACCAACTTGTAACCTTTTTCAGAGCTAGATATACTCGCCGGAAAATGGTAGAAACCAATTTCTGAGATATGAAGCACAATAACAAAAATATGAGATGGATCAGACAAATAGGGAGGAAGTAAACAAACTGTGTCCCATCCCCCAACCCATTCTCGTCTCTGTCGCCTCCATTCCCTCATTCATTCTCCCGTTGTTGGTTACCCAAACACCAGCAACCAACTGAAGAGCATTGGTTCCTAAGGAATCCCCAAATTGAAGATGCGACACCAAACCTAATCAGGTATAAACGAGATTTCTTCAACGGAGAACAGAGTTGAAGCAAGCCCCACTTCTGGTTAACATAATCAAGAAACCGAATATAGCAAAATTAGGTTTTTTTGTCAACAACTTCTCAACCATTGTAACTGATTGAGATGCAGGTCCTAAAGTACAAACAATCTTCGTTTTCGGCCTCTGCGTACCTACTAGTTGTGGGCTCAGATTAGTCGTCATTCGATCCATATTCTTTCCGATCGACCGCCTTGGTTATCTGCTCCTTGGACAACACCACCGACTCCTCCCTCATTTACAGCATGTACATGCCTTGGGGACAACGAAACGGGTCGGTTCTAGAATCTCGACTTTTCTTGTTGGTTCTGGTTTTAGGGCGTTTTGGTTTGTGATTAGGTGAGAGAGGGAGAGAGAGGGTATAGGTGGTGTCGGTGGGCCACTTTCTTTTTTTTTTTTCTTTTTTTAAATGTTAAAAAAAGAGTAAAGAAATTCAAAAATAAAATTAAAAGGGCAAAAAAGTTATTTCAACTTTTCTAGGGACCAAAACCGCAAAAAGAATTTGATTTTGGACCAATGGTGTAAGTTGAAAAGGTTTTGGACTCTATCCGTATTTTTTTTGATAACGACAGAACTAAATTTGCAGTTTAGTCTAAAACTAAATAGTTTCAGTATTTGAAATATATATAGTAGTGAAGGATTAAAATAAAATAAAGACTTTGGCTTAGTCGGTATATAGTTGGCTTTGGGAAAGTGGAGACATAAGGTCGATTCTACTTTTGTGTGTTTTCAAAATAAAAATCCAATTTTTTTTATAGGGTTTCAATGTGGAGTGCCACATCAACATGTAATAGGAGATGACATCTAAACAGGTTAAAAATATTAAATTGTAAGAATTAGCCGCTTTTTGAATTTTTGTATTAAAAAAAATTTTGGAACTAAATTGAAACATTTTCCAAAGAAACTAGAAAGGTTACCCCCGCTACGCGGGGGCCAGAAGCTTTTAATGTTGTTTCCGAATTGATAAATATGATAGACATAGAAAGTGCAAGGATGAAAAGTCCGGGCTTTGCCCCGGACAAAAAATGTAAAAGTTTTGACTGCAAGGACCAGAAGTGTGAAAATGGCTAAAGAATTAAAGGGGTAGGAATTAGCAACTTTTTAGAAAAGGGATCAAAGTTGTCAAACCGTTAAAGTTTTGTGGCCAAACTTTAAATATTAAAAGGTTCCAAAAAAGTGTAAAAATATTGATTGCAAGGACCAAAAGTGTCAAAATGGGTAAAGAATAATGAGTAAAGTTGCCAAAAAAACATCCAAATTTAGTATTCTAACTTCCAACAATAATACAGGGACCAATTCTGCCAAAAAATAGGAAGTTGAATGGAACACAAACAAAAGGACATGAATAAATTAATTAAAGAAGTATAGGGACGGGATATTTAAATCAAGGGACCAAACCTGGACAAAGTATCCCAACTTTACTATTCCTTTCTTCCACAACTTTAATATATATATAATAATAAGATTTTTCTACAGATTTTTCGAAAAAAATAATATCTTTTGAAATTTTTAACTACCATCAACCAATTTCTCAATATTTTTTTAGAAAAATATATAGTAATATATAGTAATTTTTAAAAATAATATCTTTTGAAATTTTTAACTACCATCAACCAATTTCTCAATATTTTTTTAGAAAAATATATAGTAATCCCGAGGTAAAAAGGCACCTAAGTATGAATTAAAAGATTTTCCTTTCTTTCTTTGATAATTAGTCAACGGTCTCCATTGAAGTTGACTTTTCTTGCTCAGCAACATTAACACCTGTCCCAAATGATTCAATAAATAACACCTTTGGTTGCCTAACTCACTCGCATTTTTCTTCCAGTTTTTCCACAAAGTCGCTTCTGATCAACCTTCAAATCTACTTCAACTTATCATTTGCTCAAACACTTTACCTGCAACTGCAACCATAACTTGCGCCCATAGTTCATCTTATAAATATATCATCCATTTCCTCCATTTCACACCTCTAAATCTGTCAATCTCAATACCCATTTCACCATGAAGGTTTCTCACTTGTTCTTCAAAACCCAATTCAATTCTAGATTCATAAACCTCATTTTCATCTCCTCTTCTATTGGTTTGATACTTTATCTCTTGTTCTCTTCCTTTTCGCTTCTACCTAGCACCAGAATCTTGTTGCTGGGTGGTGATCGATTTTCGTCTTCTACTTCACTCGATCACATCGTTTTTGGGATCGCATCCAATGCGAAATCATGGCCGAAGAGGAAAGAATACGTGAAAATGTGGTGGAAGCCTGATAAAATGCGAGGTTGTGTTTTTCTCGATGTTCCAGTTGATAATAAAATCGCCCCTTCCGAATCCGACGCCTCTCTTCTCCCGCCGGTTTGTATCTCCGACGACACCTCCCGATTTCGTTATACATGGCGTGGTGGTCTCCGGTCAGCCATCCGTGTCGCCCGGGTTGTGTCGGAGACGGTGGCATTAAATCATTCAAATGTCAGGTAAATTAGAAACCCATATGGCCATATGAATTCTTTTTGTGAATTAATTACCATCATATCTGATCAGTAATCGGTTACTATCCAGATGGTTCGTGTTTGGTGACGATGATACGGTTTTCTTCCCGGAAAATCTGGTGAAGACGCTATCAAAATACGATCATGATCTGCGGTATTTCATCGGATCAAACTCCGAAAGCTTTGTACAGAATACATTTTTCTCGTTTTCTATGGCGTTCGGAGGAGCTGGATTTGCGATCAGTTATCCATTGGCGAAAACACTGGCGAAGGTATTGGATTCGTGTTTGGAGAGATACCCGCATCTGTACGGAAGCGATGGAAGAATTTCATCGTGTTTGGCTGAACTTGGAGTCGGGATTACTAGAGAAGCTGGTTTTCATCAGGTAAAGTTAACTCATCGCCATTGATATCCTCTGTGTTTCTCTTTCTCGAGCTCTCTTCTTTATTTGTTTGCGTTTATCGTACGTTCTATACACGTTACATCCTATTCAATAAAAATAATAAGAATTTCTCTAACCCTAAAGATTTCTTGATTGACATTTTGACTACCCAACTTTGACAAATTGTAGAACCAGCCCCTACATTATTTTTAGAGTTTGTATTAAATTTTGTGGTTTTAAAATTTAACTAGATGGATATGACTGGAAATCCGTATGGACTATTAGCAGCGCATCCAATGGCGCCATTGGTATCTCTTCACCATACCGATTACATGGACCCAATGTTTCCAAATATGACAAGTAGAGATGCTATGCGTCATTTGTACAAAGGCGCAAAATTAGACCCTCATAGGATCATACAACAGACAGTGTGCTATGATCGTTGGTTTTCTTGGACAATTTCAGTCTCATGGGGATATGCAGTCGAAGTCTTTGGAAACCATGTGCTCTTGCCTGACGTTCTTCGTATCCCTGCAACATTCCAACCTTGGAAAAAAGGTAATGTGTTGCACACACTATTTGGTTTTGACATGAGGGAACTCAACAAGGATCCTTGTCGAAGACCTGTTGTGTTCCATATGAACAATATATTCCAAAAGGGAGATAAGACGACAAGCATTTACACATTGATGAAACAAGAAAACTGCACAGCTGATTTGGGATCTCCAAGGAGAATTGAAATGATCAAAGTGCATGCTCAAAAGTTAGCTCTCGACTTAAAACAGGTAACACCAGCTTACTTATTAGATATGAATAGTAAAACCGAGTACTTTTGACAATTTTGAAATAATTTCTTGTAATTGGGTTAATTTGCCAATAAGAAAGAAGTTCTATGATTCATTTGAAAAACTCAAAAAAGTACCTAGCGATATTTGTCATATTGCAAATTGTGGAAGGTGGCATATTTCTAGTGCCATTGGGAGATCACCGGAGCAATCATTTACTCATTTTCCTTAAAACAATTACCATTTCTGCATTTTCTTATTTGCTCCAAAAGATTGAATATTATCAAAATCAGTCCCTCTAATTATTTGGATTTTTATGTAACAGTTGCAAGCGCCTAGACGACAATGTTGTGATGTTTTGCCTACATCAAGACAAGAAACGTTGGAAATTGGTATTAGGGAATGCCATGACGAAGAATTGATTCGTATGCCTTAACATTCATTACACTGTTTATATTGTGTGTTGCTAATCTTGTAAATAGCACACCACTAAATGATCAAATCAAACGATACATACTTGGAATATACATGAATCAAGGGCTTACAATGAGAGTTTTGGAAACAAATCATGTACAAAAGGCATTCTGAGTGGATGAAAACTGTTTAATTTTAAAGAGGTCAAATACATGGGTTCTTATTTCTCTCTTTTGATATATTTTTTTTAATATTTATGTGGAAACAGTGGAAGATGTGGAGAATTTATAAATTGGAATATCCATAGACCTAAATTTTTTTAGCCATGATGCATTTGGTACAAAGTTTTTGAGAGTTTCTATATTTTTTTTAAAAAAAAAGACAAAAAAAAAAAAAAAAGACTTCTACCTTTTAGTTAAAACAAAAAACTTTAAATCCAAAAAGATTTCAAGTAGCCTTTAACAAAAAGCTCTTTCATAATTTTGGAAATTGACTTAATTATCTTTTTTTTTAATCATTGACATGTTTTAGATAAGCAATTTAATTTAATTTTAAATGTTTTAAAAACTTTTAACTATTTTGACCGAACACTCATATAATCATATACAAATAAAAACTGTAGATTTGAACTATTAATTAATTTTGCCGGATACGCTTAAACTAGAAGAACATTGAGCATCTCAATTTTAAGTGGATGAGTGGATACAAAGCAGATAAAAAAAATAGAATTTCATGAATGGCAGGAAACTAACATCAAAGTTTAGTTAAAAGACATATTACATTAAATATAGCAGTAGTTGTTGGCTAAAAATGACGTAAAGTTAGGTTTTCTTTTAATCACCGAACACGATTTTAATGTTTCATAGTATAAATAGAAATATATTTGAAAATTTATTGCAAGTCTCGGTATAATACTCGCTCAAATTTGCAACTACTACGCCTCTTTTGTCCTTCGGATTCTCTACTTGAATTCAAACAAATTTCTTTTTGATGTTTGTAAATTTTAAAGGTATACATATGTAAAATTTAGAATTACTGGATTACCCATTGTTATAATTATGTAGTTTAAAAAAAAACAATATCTTAATAAGAAATAATATGAAAAGTTTTCTAATAATTAAAACAATGCTATAATAAAAACATAGAAAATGTATTACTGCAATTTGCATTTAGCTGATATGTATAAGAGGTTGAAACATGTAAACCGTTAAATGAGGTTCGTCATGTGTTATAGTTTGTTGTCACATTTATCGAAGCTTATTCTTATAACTTATGGTAGTTAGTCGTTCGGAACATCAACTCTGTGAGACAATAATTACTCTGATAATGCAGGAACAACTCTTGGTTTTCTTCTTAGATACTTGTTGAGTTGTATTGTATTAGGATTTGATGATTAAACTAATAGTAATGATCCATTTGTAATACCTAAAACATTATTTTGATCTAAAAATAGACATTAGACTTGAGCGAGTGGAGTGCGGTAATATCCTACGTGGCAAGTCTTATCGTAGTGAATACCGCCATTTCTATGCGGTTTGGGGTGTGCGGCTTGGGGGTGCGGCCAAAAAAAGGGAGTGTTTATCTCTCTCTCTCTCTCTCTCTCTCTCTCTCTCCTCTTTTCATTGTATACCACTCCTTGTGTGTGATAAGGGAGTTGCAAAATGAGGGAATATGACATCACTCCCTCCAGCCTTATAAGTATTGTTACGGGCAGGATCTTTGAATCATATTAAAGATCCTTAAATATTTCTGAAGCCTCTGGATCCTTAAACATATCCCTGGATCCTGATTATTGCCACTAATATTTCCTAACACTTGTAACGGCTATATTCTTCTTTATTTTTTTCACATGTGCAGAACTAGTCAGCACAAGACTCATTCTCAATAGAAATTCACTTCAACCAAGCTTAAGACACGGGGATACTAAGTCAAACAACGTGCAAATACCTGTTCAAGGAGGATCCCGAAAATCTCGAATTTCTTGTTCATTAACTTAGACTATAAATAACACTTGTAAATAGCACACTACACACACGGTTAGCTCTACCATTACACTTGTACTCGTATTACCTTCATCGTCTTTGTAATTTCAGCTTTAAATCAATAAAACACATCAAGACAGGTGATCATTATAATCTCCCAAGGTTTTATAACGGAGATCCTATAAAGGATCAAGGGTTTCCTTGTAACTTATTTGTCTCATTTCGATCATTATTTTACATTTACATTGCACTGACACCACAACCTTTCATACAATTTGGTCGAATTGCACTTGATCAATTTTTGACCAAAACTGATGAAAAAATGAATCGAGTAATGAATTAATCAGAGTATGAATTCAAGTAAGAATGCGAGATTTGAACACAGGATGTAAATATGATCTTGTTATGCTCTATTATGCTTTCGAATTCTTTACAAAGTGCAATAGACAAGTCTGTAAAAGTTTTTTTTTTTAACTCTAGTAAATAACCCTATTTATAGGGAACTGAAAGCATACAAAAAATATACTAAGGCATTGACTCTAAAGCTTCGAATAAAAGCGCCCTAGTAAAATACATTACAAAACATTCGAAGAGTCCAAAACATACTTCGACTAATTACAACAATTCGACCCTTACAATCTCCCCCTTTGTAATCATAGTCGAAGTCTTCAATTTGTAAGAAGTGTAATGGAATACAGTAACACTCTTCGAATCTCCGTGTACCAGGAGATAATCTTCTTCAGCTCTTTCTTGTCTCCTTCATTGTTCTTCTTGCAATGATTCATACGAACAATCAAGTTTGTATATTGAGATGTTGAATATCTCTCTACTTCACTTGCCTGGAATAAAAATCGTTTAGCTTTTCCAGCTTTGTCTTTTCCTGCGAAGACCATTCCAAAAGACTTCAGGCAAATTTCACCATCAGCCTACTTCTTCAATTCCACCTGTGTCTTCATAGGAGCCATTGGAGCTTTAATTTCCATTCCTTTGGCAGTAGCTAATTCAACATCTGTTGGTGCCAAACACTCATAATAGTTTTTGATAAAAATCTTGATGTGAGCTACTCCAAGCTTGAATTCATCCGGTTCTGTGTTTTGAAGGTATGAGAATGATTTGTCTTTCAAAAGTAATGCAACTTGTATAAGATCATACAAGTTCATTAATGGAAAATCTGCAACAGTGAATTCGCAAATATTTCCATTTGCCCTGGCAACCACATACTTAAAATTTTGGACTGTGTTTTCGAAAACCACATCCCTTTTCATACTGATCACCTTCTTGATTTTGATTAATGACCACACTTCTTCAGGGGCTTTACCAAGAACAGCATGAAAACGAATTTTCATGTGTGTGCCTTCATCTTTATCTTTAAAGTTTCCTTCTGCTTTGAACTGAGGCAAGATAAACATCATTTCGTTTATTGGAAAATCCAGCTGGCTTACATCAGTATCCGTGATCAAATAAGTTTGTTTTGGTTTCTTCTCAAATGAATACATGTGATTGAATGCAACCTTGGCCTCGATTGTTTCGTAGTTATAGTGTTTAGTTGGATCCCCTTTATCCATTCCCTTCGGATCATTTGCTCGCTGAGCCATAATGCTTTGAACTATTCTGAGCTTTTCGATTTCAGCATCAGCTTCAACCTTCTTTTCTTCTTTTGATTTTTCCACAACAATCGATTTCCCTTTATCTTTCAATGCTGGATTGACGATTGTCTCTTTTGGATTCGAACCACTCCCACCAGTCTCCGAAGATTTACCAATCATAATTCCTTTCGAAATTGGTCTTGCAATTGGCATTGTTGTTACGACTGTTGAAGTCACCTGTTCAGCAGAAATAATTATCGGTTTTGTTGTAGGGATTTTCGAAGAAAAGACTTTTCCCACAACTTTCGCATCTTCTCCACTAGTCTTCGACTCACTAGTTTTTCTTTCTCCCCCTTGCACTCCTGTGAAAACAGGTGGGGCATTTGTGGTTGGAAGAAGACTTGATATGCGAAAGAGAGGAGCAAGTTGCTTGTTGAGAATGGCTTCGAATTGGATAAACTTCTGAGATAAAAATTCAGGAGTAATCAATGGAGAAGAAACCGGCCTATCAGAAATCTCTTTTAACTCCTTGAGCAACTTAAGCACTTCTTCAAAGCTTACACTTTTGGATGTTGAAAGTTGAGTAATTTGAGGACTCAAATTTTCATACAACTTAACAAATCGAGTGACTGCGTCACAAATGATATCAACCTTTTGATTCAAGGATGCATAATCTTGTTGAACTGTGACAATTTCTTTTTGCATATCTTCACGAAGTTTGTGAATCTGCAAGTTTACATCCTCTCGTACTTTCTTCACATCTTGAATAAAAAGAACATGTCGTTCCTTTGCAACATTCTTCAATTCTTTCAGATTACCAGCAAACTTCGAACTCTGAGAATTGATCCGAATTTCATTGTTTTGATCATTATGATCAATCTTCTCCAAGACTCGAGATTCAGAATCTTTAAGCATCCCCGGTACTTTACTTATGATTCTGGATTCAAACACCTTCAGCAACGAATCAACTTCAACACTTGAAACAGACGAACCAACCCCTAGATCTGCTTGAGATTGAATGACAGAATTCAACTTTTGATTTAAAATCTTAAACTGCTTCATGGTCATCAGCATGTGATCTGGAAACTGCTCTTCTTCTTCATGAAACTCCAATTCTTCAAACATACCGCCAAACCCCTCATTATCAGTCTCTGTCTCCATAAAAACAGTTTCTTGAATAGGTGAAGTTGGTTTGGGTGGCTCAGTAGATTGTGAAGAAAAAATAGAAGTAAAAGGTTGATCAAGAATATGTTCGAATGTTGGGGAATTTGTAGTTGAAGTAAGAGGTGTAGTGGATAATGGTAAAGAAACAATACTTTCAAAAGGAGTAGAAGTAGATGGACCTGTAGCTTCATTTTTCGAACCTCCTTCACCCATATTAATATTTGCATCCGTATCAGATACGTGTGCAGGGATGCCTGAAGTTCGAACCTCCTCAGGAACTGATTTGGCAATCGAATCTTCGGGTGGTATGACAACTGTCTTCTCAGGAGTTTCAGGAATTCGTTCTTCATCATCTTCAGTTGACTCAGTAGAAATGACCAGCTTTCTTGTCTTCTTCTTCTTCTTCTTCTTCTTCTTCTTCTTTGATAAATGTTTTGCCATATCCTCAGCTCTTCTTTTCTTGGACACCGGAGAAACAGGTGCGGGCACTTCTCTAATTAGAATCCCTTGATGAGTTATTTGAGGTTTTCGAACCACTTTGT